CTAGGTATAAAAGTAGTAGAATTGTGTACATATGTTCACCAAATAAACATGTATAGGAATTGTTCATTATAGAAAAAGCCCAGAAACTACCCAAATGTCAAGTGAGCAATAAGATTGATAAATAAATTGTGGTATATTCACACAATGGAATACCACTCAGCAATAAGAATGAATGATCAACAATTACATACAACCAAATAGATGCATCTCAAAAACATAATGCTAAAAATGCCCAGACATTGAAGGGTATATACTGCATGATTCCACTGACATAAAATTTAAAAAAAATTAATCTACACTGTTAGAACTCAGAATAGTGGTTCCCATTGGTGTGGGTGAGCAGTAACAAGTGACTAGAAGAGAGCCTGAGAGGGTTTCAGGGTTCTGGTAATGATCTCTTTCTTAATCTGGGTACTATGCATCTGGATATATTTGGTTTATAAAGGTGTATCAATCTGTACACGATGTGTCCTTTTCCATATGTATATGTTACTTGTGAAAAAGTTAAAAACATATATTACTTTGAATCTGTACCCAACTTGTAAAGTAATATTTCTATTTTAAATATGAAGAAAATGAGAAATAGTGAGTTTAAGTTACTTACTTGGTTACTTTTAATTATTAATAGCCAGGCAGCTGTTAGGTGGCTCAGATTAAATGGTTTTTATTTTCCTTTCTGGTTCTAAAATACTATGGTTTTATAAATCCACCAATTTAGAATCACATTAACTTTCTGACTCTTTTTATTTTAATTTCTATTGGCCCTCCTAATCTATTAATGTTTCTAAATTTCTATATGAAAGGTAAGATTTTTTGATATTTAAAATATGACAAGTAGTTTTCTTGAATATTGCAGAGATTATTATTTCTACTAACTTTATACTTATTTTCTATACTTACTTTCTTTTTTTAGGCAAGCAAAGGTCGGACTACGATTGTGGTAGCACACCGACTTTCCACTATTCAAAATGCAGATCTGATTGTGACCATAAAAGACGGGATGGTGGTGGAAA